CCTGCCTAACCCCACTGCTCGAATGGAACAATGGAGAGAGGTGGTTGTATGCCCTCACTCTGCCTGAGGTGTTTTTATATAGGGCTTTTAGGATGTTAATAAACTTCTCAGGCACACCCTTCTTCAATAGACAATCCCAGAGAACAGTCCTGTCCAACGAATCGAAGGTAGCCCTGATGTCAAGAAACACTAAGATTGTTGGCCTTTGATAAGTATGGCGGTGTTCTAACATTTGGCGGAGGGTGAAGATATGATCAATACATCCTCGACCAGAACGAGACCCAGCCTGCTCCTCGCGAGTCAATCTTTCTCGGGTTTTGAACAACCTACGAAGTATGACGGAAGCCAATAGCTTGGACGCAATCGGAAGTAGACTTATCCCCCGATAGTTGTTACAAGAACGACGTGAACCCTTTTTAAAGATAGGGACAACTATCGACTCATTCCACGATGTGGGTGTGGGTTCGAATCTCACCCCCTACATATACTTTGCCCCCGAGTGCCCTGGTACGGCCGAGAGTTGGGAGAGCCAGCTCTCCCTCTCGAAATACTCTCACACGGCCGCGCGTATACAGCCTCTGCCAGGGACGTCCTGCTCACTGCCTTCTCGTGGCGTGGGTGCTGCTTACGAAAATGAGAGAACGAAAAGGGAGTGTCCGGCGCTTTAACCGGATCACAAACCAATGGTGAACATGGGCTCAAGTATCCTGCGGGAACAAATGGCGTATGAACCAATCGTTGGTCACCGGCTACCATGGGATTGCATCTCCTTACGACGCTCCACTGCCTTGTGGGTTAGACCTATAGGTCAAATGCTCAGGGAGTGGTCCCCTGAGATAACCGCCTGCTTCGGTTTGGGCATCCGGGCAGTATCACAGCCCACACACAAATGATGAACTCTCTGTGCCTATGGAAACTACATTTCTCGCTTCGGAAAACAATCAATTGATTCAAATTATTATCATTAATATTATTGTCGTTATTAAAACTAACTTAATAATACTTGTTATTCTCAATTCACTAATTGTTTCATAAACTTATTGTAATCACCTGATAGTGGAATTAGAAATAAACACGATATCGAAAGGTTAGGTAGCTTCGCCGCTTGTAGTGAACAATGCAAGATGTATTTGATAGTCGTCAGAATGATTAAGCCAAATTCATCGTGAAATAGACTGGAGGCTTCACTATCAGTGCACGAAGCTCCTTAAATTTGTGTGACTGAATATGTTCTACAATCAAATGCCGCGATTCGCAACAATCAGGTTAACACGAAACAAAATTCCATGTTATACTTGGTTTGAAAAGTAGATTTACAACGTAAAAACTTGCAAAATGTTGGTAGGTTAATTAAACATAAAGGTTTAAGAATTTTGCACACATATTCAACATTCCGTAGTTAACTAATCTAGTACTTGCCTATACTTTTTCTCTTCCTTTAGTCAGCACATAAAACCAAAGTTTGTTTAAACATATATACCCTTTGAATCGTACTGTGGAGGCAGAATACTTTTATCCATCAATGATTTGTAAACGAGTAATGATTGATGGTATTCTCACTCACATAGTTCTAGTTCGAAGACTTATTGGATGACCTCATATATTATTATCACAGTGATGAGATTTCATACATGTGTTGCTATTACACTTACTGAGCAGACCACGTATTTCGCGCAACGGAGAACTACTCAAATTCGTTTTCGCAGTTTATTTTGATATCAACTTAATATTAATTACCATTTTTAAACAAATTTCAACTATGTTTACTTCATAGGATAATTATACTTTCAACTCGTATCTTTTGACTCATATAAAAATCACTACATAAGTTGGAATAATCACCAATGTTTTTAAAAATATGTTCTTTACAAAATAATTGAATTTCATCTACGAGTGGTACTTATGATTTACAGTGAAATTTTTTTGATAAACTGTCTTCAATAGAAAATTTGTTCACGTAAAATATATCCATAAAAAATATCATGAGTATTTCGTGCAAACATCAGGTTTTTGAGTTTAAATAGAGAGTTGTAGACCATAAACCACAGTAAACAGATGATATAACCATATTGGAATCCAATTGTTGATTTGTTAAGAGTGGGTGTTTCACTGGCGAATCAACAGCTTCTACAGATGAGTCAAATCCCAACTGACCAAATTTATTGCATCCAAAACAAAACAGGATGCCATCTTCTGTCAGACAGGCTGTGTGACAACCACCGCAGGCAATCTAGCACAAAGTATTAAAAATAAAGACGTAGTAACCATCGAAAACAAACTCGAATCTAGTTATAAAATACCATACATTGTATGCAAAACATCTGACCTATTTCCCATTATGAAACACGGGTTCAGGCTTTTGTTATCCTTATCACAACTAAAACATCTGTCATCACACTATCAGTCTGTACTTTTTAATTATCATGTTTATTTAGGTAATCTATTACACTGTTATCACTGACTGATAAACTGCTTTGGCTGGTTTAATAATTTCCTAAATGCATATAAATAATATTGTATATTAGAGTAGAGCCTAATGAAGATCTGATTGAAAACAATATTGTTCGATCATATATGTTCTAATTTACAACTGGATGTATCAAATATAAACGACCTTTTGGCAGTTGATAACATGTACGTAAACTCTGGAAGAAATACCCTCAACGACCGCAATGAAGTAAACAGATGGAGATGTTATGCATTAATGAAATTTGGTTGGATGAAACACAGATATTACATAACTATACGTGACCTTGGGGATTCTAAACAAGGTAACGGACTTCAGAGGAAGTATATGAATAAGGCTGTGGGACTACAAATTATCTCATTACATACTATTTAGACTATATTAAATGACACGTGTTCAGGGTAATGTACTGTAACTGATAATCAAAATTAATAAATTCGCTTGCGATGGTTAAAGACCAAAATTATTATGTCTAATAAATCTGGTATGTCATTTATTACATGATACTCACTTGTTCTTATTGATAATATATTTTGGACGAATTTGAAGCATGAGGATGAGGATTGATATTGGAAAAATACACTTTTAAGTTGTGGCGGAAAATAAATTCTCAAAATTAATAGCTTCGTGTATATTCAACATTTGATGCTGACCGCATTTGCCCTCATGGATGCACCCAGCTGAAGTTGCTCGGTTACGCGTTCACACAAGTTCACGAGTGGTAACGTCGTGCTCAACTTCTACAACAGCTAGCCAGTTGAGATCAGTCACCTCTCGATATACTGATAGCCTATCAAATGAATCTTCGAACATCTTCGCTTCCTGCTTCTCATTTCACTGGGATGTGCACGTTTCGGTTAGTGTGTGTTACTGGTTAAGGTATTGTCAAACTGCAAATACTTGTGGCATCTTCGGCGGTGAGCTCGACTTAATCTGATACAACTGCTTGTAAACTGCGAGTCTGTTTCTTTTCGGAACCTTATATATCATTTCTTTACTTTAATTTTTATATGATGTAGTGAAAACACTACCGCGCAAATTCATTAAGTACGTCACATTTAGTATGTTTACTAGTGTTGTTTGGGTCTATTCTGAAATGCTGAGATCTAACCGACCGACAAAGGTTGGATCAACTCCTCGATAGCATCGATCTTAAACATGGCTCAGCAACGGACATGTTGTTACTAATGGGAGAGGTAATTAATTTGACAAATTGGTCAAAGGCTTTTCGACAATGACCTTCTCAGACAACTTTTGTTGTCTAAGCTTCCTCAACAAGTGCAGGAAGTACTGCTTACATCAGCTTACCGTTTTACCGACGGTAATATATCACAATCGCAGAACATATGTTCTGCGATTGTGATACGTATAATAAGAACAAACTACCTTCCGTTGAATTAAAAAAAGGAACTTCATTAAGTGAACAACATTTTCTTTGGAAGTCAGAAGTCGTGTGTCGTCTATAACATTTATTGGTTACATTTGTGGATGCCGAAAAGGACGAATCTGTTCGCTTTGTTTGCATGCTGGACAGACCATTAATTAAAGACGTAAGCTTCTTAGTTACACCTAAGTGTAATAAGTGCTGTGACGGGAACATTTCCGACATATCTGTAGACAGGTTTTCGAAAGTGCTCCTACCACGAGGAATGATACCTTGGGACTGAGTACGAAATGTGACATCACTTGTTAAACCATGTTCTCCATTGGGGAATGTCATTCGCGCATCGGAGTTATTGTCTGTAACCTCAAACTTGTAATAGTGTTAGGCGTGTCGTTGGACATAATACGACAACAGGTTATGATAAATGTGAAGTTCCATACACGTCATGTAACCTTTCGTATCGCATGTTCGTTTGATATGCTCCTATAAACTCGTATTGAGGGCATCTCGTGAACAAAGCGTGATACACAGGTTTCATGAATATCACTAAATTAGGCGCTTCTTCCTCAACTCATGTCGTCGAAACAGTATTGATACTACCGGTATGTTTATTGGAGCATATAAAGTAAAGCAACATATACCTCCTAACTGTAAGCAATATGAAAAATTAAATTGTTCCTGGAAAATGTATGTATCTTTGTTTTGGTTCAATGTGTAACATTACTCATTAGTGCGTCTGTCATTTTCCTGTGACGATGCGCAAACAGAAGGTGAGTTGTTGCGAGTGCTAGCTTTATAATGGACTGCTTCGATGTTGCGAATAATATGTAATCTTAGGTTCTTATATTTACTTTTAACAATTGTTTGCTTAGTTGTTCATTGTAAAGCGATTTCAAAAGTCACACTTGTTACTGGTTTTTGTTAAGTTGTGCGACAGAGTACATTTTTATATAGGAAACGAAATGCGACTAATTAAATTTCCAGGTCATTACTGTTATTTGAGGATTCGAATTTACGTGCTATACAGAACCTATTTTTCATTATAATTAGAAGAATCAACGTGCTCTAATATCATTCATCTTTCAGGCCTTGACTTTATGAAAATTTCTACAAAAAGCTTAGTTTTAACATCTGGAGCATACCGTCATTATGATGGAGAATGGAAATCAACTTTCGAGTTCACCCCAAGTGATTGCTTGGTTTTTGCAGATTGGCACTGTTCACTATTCTCACGTGGTAACTTGGATTCCAACTGTTAGTCACAATGTAGATTTTCAGACGTCTTATTGTTTGGTCGGGTTGTTACAGGAAAAACACCTAAACCTTACAGGTCTTTCCATAGGATCGAATGATTCATGGCTCTTTATCGCAACACCTGAATCCATCACTGGAATTGAAAAAAATCACGGGAATAGCGTCTCTGCTGATATATCTGTTGTTCAAGTAGCTTCAGATGGTCAGAATGTATATTGTGTGAAGGGTAGGTGGGATTTTATCCGTACAGTATATTTCATTGGTAGACGAAACTGTTACCTTACTAAAAGTTTGTAATTTTGGAAATATCATTGCAGTTGATCGCCCACTTAGTTTAACAATAAAAATAAAATCGATATCATGTGGTCTAGGGTTTTTGTTATGTTTAACATTTTCAGGACAGGTGTTTAGTCAGGGTATAGGAAGGTAGGTAAGTTATCACTTATAATTTAATGTTTTTATCTTAAGTCGAGGTCAGTTGGGTTTAGGTGATTTAACTGACAAAACTGAACTGACTATAATTGAAGCTTTACAAATATTGACTGTTACTCAAATTGCAGCAGGAAATTGGCATTCAGTATGTTTGGCTGGTAAGATTAAATATTTCTAATTATTCTGTTCTTTAAAAACCAGATACAGGAGACGTTTATACTTGGGGTTGGAATGAACATGGTCAACTAGGGCACAGGTCCCTTGGAATCAGTAATAAATCAAACTCTATCACCGAGAAAGAACGGGAAAGTTGTGTATCTGTCTTGGCCCTTCCTGCTCCAGTAGATTTCCCTGATAACCTATCTATTTCACAAGTAACTTATTTTCTTAACGAATGTTTTGTCGGCCGGTATAAAATTAGATGTTATTTCCGTGTTTGATCCTTTTCCCATTTTAGAGTCCACTTTATTTTTTTGCGTCTATTCTCAATTATTATAACAAGATTACTTCCCAGTCTATTTTAAGGTGAATTATAACACAACTAAGCCTATTTATTCTGTCAACTACCTTCTAAAACCATTTTGAGAAAGTGATTAGCTTGTATATTCTCTGTTCAAAAGGGAACTGAGATTAAGTTAACTTTGAGGAACATCATTTTAAGTCAAATTTATTTTTACTTCATATTATTTACGTTGTTTTAGTGATGAGTCACAAAAACAAACACATGCACCACTCAAAATATGTTTCTTTGATTTAATTCACTATTTATTTATATATGCCATTCACGACCCAAATTTTCCGCTGCCACATTGATCTAAATTGCTCATCATAATGGTGCTATCGAGTTGTACCGGGTAAAATACTCATCCCTGTAGATTCTATCACGTCAGGTTGACCGGTTGCGGGAAGTGGATATGACTGAGAAAATTGAACGTAAGGTGCACTGGTGAAGTTATGCTGCCGACTGCACTCAAGTGTAACAGAAGCGAGGTGTCTAGTTCATAAACCTAAGCTCTCTAGTGATGCTCCTTTCCCACTACAAGATGAAAGTGTTAGGAAAGGCCGATCATATAGGTCGCATACCTCAACTTGCACCAGGTTCATGTAATAAATGACATACCAGATTTATTAGACATAATAATTTTGGTCTTTAACCATCGCAAGCGAATTTATTAATTTTGATTATCAGTTACAGTACATTACCCTGAACACGTGTCATTTAATATAGTCTAAATAGTATGTAATGAGATAATTTGTAGTCCCACAGCCTTATTCATATACTTCCTCTGAAGTCCGTTACCTCGTTTAGAATCCCCAAGGTCACGTATAGTTATGTAATATCTGTGTTTCATCCAACCAAATTTCATTAATGCATAACATCTCCATCTGTTTACTTCATTGCGGTCGTTGAGGGTATTTCTTCCAGAGTTTACGTACATGTTATCAACTGCCAAAAGGTCGTTTATATTTGATACATCCAGTTGTAAATTAGAACATATATGATCGAACAATATTGTTTTCAATCAGATCTTCATTAGGCTCTACTCTAATATACAATATTATTTATATGCATTTAGGAAATTATTAAACCAGCCAAAGCAGTTTATCAGTCAGTGATAACAGTGTAATAGATTACCTAAATAAACATGATAATTAAAAAGTACAGACTGATAGTGTGATGACAGATGTTTTAGTTGTGATAAGGATAACAAAAGCCTGAACCCGTGTTTCATAATGGGAAATAGGTCAGATGTTTTGCATACAATGTATGGTATTTTATAACTAGATTCGAGTTTGTTTTCGATGGTTACTACGTCTTTATTTTTAATACTTTGTGCTAGATTGCCTGCGGTGGTTGTCACACAGCCTGTCTGACAGAAGATGGCATCCTGTTTTGTTTTGGATGCAATAAATTTGGTCAGTTGGGATTTGACTCATCTGTAGAAGCTGTTGATTCGCCAGTGAAACACCCACTCTTAACAAATCAACAATTGGATTCCAATATGGTTATATCATCTGTTTACTGTGGTTTATGGTCTACAACTCTCTATTTAAACTCAAAAACCTGATGTTTGCACGAAATACTCATGATATTTTTTATGGATATATTTTACGTGAACAAATTTTCTATTGAAGACAGTTTATCAAAAAAATTTCACTGTAAATCATAAGTACCACTCGTAGATGAAATTCAATTATTTTGTAAAGAACATATTTTTAAAAACATTGGTGATTATTCCAACTTATGTAGTGATTTTTATATGAGTCAAAAGATACGAGTTGAAAGTATAATTATCCTATGAAGTAAACATAGTTGAAATTTGTTTAAAAATGGTAATTAATATTAAGTTGATATCAAAATAAACTGCGAAAACGAATTTGAGTAGTTCTCCGTTGCGCGAAATACGTGGTCTGCTCAGTAAGTGTAATAGCAACACATGTATGAAATCTCATCACTGTGATAATAATATATGAGGTCATCCAATAAGTCTTCGAACTAGAACTATGTGAGTGAGAATACCATCAATCATTACTCGTTTACAAATCATTGATGGATAAAAGTATTCTGCCTCCACAGTACGATTCAAAGGGTATATATGTTTAAACAAACTTTGGTTTTATGTGCTGACTAAAGGAAGAGAAAAAGTATAGGCAAGTACTAGATTAGTTAACTACGGAATGTTGAATATGTGTGCAAAATTCTTAAACCTTTATGTTTAATTAACCTACCAACATTTTGCAAGTTTTTACGTTGTAAATCTACTTTTCAAACCAAGTATAACATGGAATTTTGTTTCGTGTTAACCTGATTGTTGCGAATCGCGGCATTTGATTGTAGAACATATTCAGTCACACAAATTTAAGGAGCTTCGTGCACTGATAGTGAAGCCTCCAGTCTATTTCACGATGAATTTGGCTTAATCATTCTGACGACTATCAAATACATCTTGCATTGTTCACTACAAGCGGCGAAGCTACCTAACCTTTCGATATCGTGTTTATTTCTAATTCCACTATCAGGTGATTACAATAAGTTTATGAAACAATTAGTGAATTGAGAATAACAAGTATTATTAAGTTAGGCAGTTTCCTGGAGTGATATAAGTGAAGGATTAAACTAGTTGAAAACACACAAAGATATGTACAAGTTACTTAGCGAAATAAGTGGATAAGTGTCAATAATATTAGTTTTCACCGATGTGACTGTACAAGCATAGGGTAACAATGAATCCTGACAAATGTCAGTTCGTGTAGTTTTCTGAATAACTGGGAAGTACTCAGTGTGTTACATCGATTCCATGTGTTAGTGTAAGCCATCCAGAATTACTGTTTACACTACGACTCGAATAATAAATAACCCAAGCATCTTGAACACATTGAATCCCATTCATCGTTTATTATGACATAAAATAATGGAAATAATCTAGAACGTGGTAGATTGTTATATTCTGGCTAACAATAATCTGTTTTAAACCTGAGTATAAGTATACTGTTTATCATACACAGGCCAATTAATCTCAAAGATTTCTTAATTGATTTCCAAGTTTGCCATTTTCGAGGAATCTGGTCATTAGATCGAATAGATATTTATTATTCACAACTGCTAACTACGAAATTTTATAAATGGTAGTTCTGCTATACGCAAACTATGCCTTAAAGACACCATCGTTTGAAAATGCATGAACAGCTCTGCTTGATGGGTAAAGATTTATAAAATAGGATATATCATCTCTGTAACATCTTAGGTGGAAACTCTCAAAACACTGAATGCATGAGAATAGTGAGCACTATAACTGATGTTCATTAAAAAAGTGAGAGTTGTACGGACGTTTTTATATATATACACATATACATATATAATAATAAAGCTAATATTGATTACCTAAATATACGAAAAATATTTAAGGTGAATTACACAATACATTTGACAATATGTTCATGACAGCTTCACAGTTCTCCTGTAAACTGATTGAGTATAAACAATAAAGGCGAACTGAAAACAGTAAATTATATAAGAGCACAATTAAATAATTGAATATTACCTCAATTATGACATTACTGAATATTGTTTTTAAATAAAAAGGAAGGAATTACAGATAATTAAGAGTTAAGTAAACAGATAAATAAAAGAGAAAAATGCTTTTTGAAAAGCTAATCGATTTTTAAAATTTATGACAATATTTGTATGACTTCCCAATCTTTATTAGAAGGGTAATTTTTAAGTGGAAATCAAACAATAAAAATAATCAACAAAGGAATGCAGTTAATTAGCTTATAGTCGTACATGTAAAATTAAAGAATAACTATGAATCCGTACTGAATCTATCACAGAAATCATTCTCCACTATTATTTTCCGACGTTAATAATAATATTGATAAATAAAGGTGAAATTTAGTTACTGTTACAATAGTAGATGCGATATAAAGCCGTACACAAACAGAAAAAGTTCATAGTTTGAATAGAAGTGGGAGATGTGATTATGTATACACTTGTTAATTTATAACCAATCTACTCACACATTTTAATACATCCGTATAGGTTTATGGAATATAGTAGAGGTATATTCATGAAGAATCTCAGTGAGAACAGAGTTAAAATGCGATGAAGCAAAACACGCTTACTAGTTAGCAAAGAGATTGTGTAAAACCAACTGTGGGAATATGTACGCATATAGTTCCGCTTAACACAGATGTACATAGACGTATATATATATATATATATATATATATATATATATATATATATATATATATATATATATATATATATATATATATATCATAGGTTAACCATAAGCCAAACAAGGACCAAATGATAACATGAAAATACACAACAAAACCTTGAAAAAAACGCGATACATTAAGCAGTAGATATATAAACACATGTTATTGTTAATATGCAATGGAATATGAATTAAACAATGAAGGCATTAATAAAGAATAATAATATGAAATAAAACTGGAAATAAACAAGTGTAGATTTCTTTCTCTTTTCTTGATTGAATCGATACGAGGTATGTATGTGACATTGACAAGAAATTATTTAATGGTATCATTACAACACATTAGCATTTAATATCAAACAAATTGTGGAGCATCTGGATCTGAAGAAGGAACAGGTATACCAGGATTATACAACAATGGACGCATATATCTAGCATTATCTATTGGATCGAATGCAAAAACCTAAGAAGAAAAAATAATTCGAAAAATAAACAAAAACATATAACCATGAAAATTTCGTAATTTTTGTTGACTAATTACATTTTATGCAACGATTAATGAATCATACTTTAATTTATGTATTAAAAAGATATTTAGTTGTATAATTTGAGTTTATACTGAAGAAAAAACTTTGGAATCATATGATATACATGATTGTAAAATAATGAAAAAAGTTTTTGCCAAACTATAGACGCATACAGTTACGATTTTGAGTGATTTGAATATTAAGTTCTATCGGATTGATTTCATTATACTGACGTTGATCCAAGTAGTTTGATAGGGTATTTAGAAAAAAAAATTGTCATGACTTTAAGTAAAATAAAACAAACTTGGACTTGATTGTTGAATAATTGTAGATAGATGGTGGGATAAACAAATAAAGCACATTTTTACACATAAAAATTTATTTCTGATAATTTGATCATTTTATGTTTCTACAACAATCGATTACAGAAGGACTAAAATGATTTAATAATAAACAATAAATAACACTTAACATATACTTTTTGTATTGATATTTTCAAGTTATTTACAATGCAAAACGATACTAAGGACGAAATTGAATGAGAGGAAATTGATATTATTACCAGTAAATGAAGACAAGAGAATTATTTCTTATAAACAATTGTAATGAAGAAGGGGAGATAGGTTGCTTAAATTGATTCATGACGAAAGATTTATTGATATTCACTATAGTAAAAATGGAAAATGTTTTTTGGAAGGAGCAGACATATAACTCAACTAGTCAATATTGAATGTTAATTGAGGAATTTCGATTTTATGATATTTGTGAATTATATTTATATGATTGTTTATTGATGAATCGGTAGCAAGTGTGGATCAGTTTAATTTATTCAAAATTTGACTATTAATCGAAATATAATCGTATATAAGAAAACAAAACAAATCTATTCAGACATAATTTGGATCTACTTTTAGCATAGAACAAATTCTCATCTGTCATCGTTCTTTCATTGTCAACATGTGTCGTCATATTAGTTTGGCAGCAGCACCAGTAATGCAACTATATCGATTCTGTTTTTGTCACGACAATACTGATGGTCGGAAGTAAAAGATGAAATGTAGATTGAAAAATACCTAGTAAAATTCAACTTAGATTGCAAAGGGATGCCATTATTGGTGGCAAAGTGAAAGGAAATTACAGTGGAATCTGTTACATCTTATACTGGATTACGACAGAATACGATACACAACTAATGGCAGTCGGATGTGTAGAACCCCACAGTTGCGGATCAGTAGATGGAGGAAGCACGGGAACTGATAATTGGGTAAGGATCAGAAATGTGTAGAAAAACATGGGCATTTATGGTTATTAGTATTGGCTATAACATAATCATTATTCGGCCAATCAGCAAGGATGCAAGTTATGCTATCGTCCAATAGTAGCATACCACGTTAATATTCTAGAAGGCTCTGTCAGGTTCTTATTGGATAAAATCTTTTTGGGTCCTTTGGAGCCTCTGGAAACTTCGTCGTGATTTCTGAAGAGGTTCCGATAGAATTAATATTGGCTTCCGCTTTGAGAATTGTCTAATGACATACCAAGTCATCATATTGTGCAATTATTAGAACCCCATCAAGAAGGTCCTGCGGAACAAACAAGTATCAACCGAACAAAACTGTTGTTTATTATGCCACGCTGTCATAAAATGATAGTCTTTTCGCTGATTCCATACAGTCTGAGCGTCAGAAAACAAGATGGTAACAGTTAATGTGATATCAATCCCATTGCGTCCCAATACACATCATCAGAAATCTTCACTGTTTACACAGTGTTGTCACAGGAAGCGAACAATTCTTCAGCAACAATATATATATATATATATATATATATATATATATATATATATATATATATATATATATATATATATATATATATATATATATATATATATATATATATATATATATATATAATCAGGACTAGATTACGTTTATTTTTCACCTTCAAATAATTCATTGTATGTGAACACCTAACTCATTTCCCTAAATTTTGTTGATCGATTTCTTTTTTGTATGATTATGAAGCATGAAATACAAAGATATTTATTTGTTATTCCACCCTTTTATTTCGAAGCAAAATAGATTATCAGAGTGATACAATGACAGAACAGCAAGACCCATATTCTTATTTTAATCACGTTAACAAAATCATTGTTAGTACTTGTAAACTTCGAATGTGTAAGTTTATTCTTAATGAGAGCAAAAAATTCACCAGGATAGCTTTAGTTAATGCTCTAGAATTCACATGACTTTTATCAATACGAATAATTGACAGTAAAATCTGATGATTGAGACAGAGTTCAGCTGTAAGTTTAGTTGTTCGTACATGGTTATAAGAAACGGTAATCACAAGCAGTAGAGTGAGCCGTACAAATATTAACTTAAGATAGAGAAACAGTTTTAATCAATGCAGTTAGGCTTATAAAGAGTGGTTTATATTCAACAAATATGATTTTGAAAATAATTAAGATAGCCATAAGAAGAAAATATTGTATATTATGATGTCTACATCATCATTTTCAGCCAGAAATCGATTAAGACCGTATGGACACAGTCTCTATTTGTAAGAATCGTTATTTAAAGAAGCAATATAATTTTAGCCGGTTATGTTTTCACCTTAACCGTATTTTCAACTAATTAAGTTTATCCGTCTATTATGCAGTCATCTATAAAAAAAAACATTGAAAAGATGAGGTTGTACATATTTTTTTTAAACAGTCTTAAGTTGAATAGAAGATAACTTGATAATCCGCTAAGGGGTTTATACACTTACCAATAAATTACGTCTACGCTTATATAGAGGAAAATACATAACAGTCTTGCGGTCCTGACTGAAAAAGTTGCTCGACAAATTGTTAAATTGTAGTTTTAGAAAGTAACAAATTAACAACGATACCATCAGCAATGTATGTTGAACGCACACTATTTATTGGCTTTGTGAAAACATACTGCTGTGTTGAACTAATGCACTGTTAATTTAGCATCTGAACAAATACATTATGTTAAAGAAAGGTGAACAGATGTTTTACAGTTAAATATTATTACAAAATCAATTTCTGTTCGCTAGTCTACACGTGAGAATTTATACCACACTTTGAAGCTGAAACTCCAAACTTTAAGATGGTCAGAAATTTAGCAATTCAGATAACCCTTAACATTTTTTCTACATGAAACCTAAACAGGTACAGTAGAAGAGAAGATTTATCAAGGGTATATCTTATCTAACATAAACGCACAAGTGAAATAATTAAAAACAACAGAGCAACACCCATTTCCGAAAACTAATAAAATTGAGCGTAAAAACGTCAGGAAATTCAAACTGATGTGTTAAAACACTTATTTTGTTCAAACAACAATTATGTAACACAGTTGTATTTTATTGCTGTTGTTTTTTATTTTAGTTACCAACCTACTAAATCTTACACTATTACCTTGAGTTTCACCCTTACATACCAAATAGTTTTGTGGTTGAAAAACCAGATTGTTTCTGTTTGCTAATCATCTTATCGGTTAGTTAAGAGTATTTATCAATTTTAATAACCTTTAGCAAAACACAGGTTATCTTGTAAAGAGTAGTTCTCTCATCTGATCCCGTGCACAATCAGATACTATTAAAACGAACATTTTTACAGATCTTCTGGTATTTTTGGTTGTGACATTAAATCCGAAACTATATGAGCAGCTACGCACAGAAAATAACATCGCTAGCATAGATTATAAATTTGACTTAACATTTTGGTAAACTGTAAATAGCTGGTTTATTGATAGACTGTCATAAGTCCCAGTCTTTCAATAGGTTTTTTAAACCTTCAATGTCTCATTGTATGTAAAATGTGTATTTTTTTCTGGCAATAAATTAAAAACCTTTTCTAACAAAGCAACGAGAAATTATAAAGAGAAGTTAGATAAAAGATTTCAGACATCTTTTTCGTGCCACTAAGATGTACGAGGATAAAAAATTAACGAAACTTGATGATTTAACACAAGTTAATATACTTGACTATGAACGACACATTTCTGTGAAAGCTGTTGAGACCGTACAACTATCCGACAAATCGTTGTAGCGATGACTTAGTAGTCAGGTCAAGACATTCTGATCTGGCAGAGTTAAACTCCGTTTCCAGTTCTGGGAGATGTATTAAAAATCCCTAACTCTTAAACGGTGTTACTTAACGTGAAGTACATAAGCTTGTACTTGATCAGTTAAATACGAAAATTGTATACCATACCATGAACTTAAAGTGAAAATTTGAGTGCACAAATCCTGTATGTCTTAAACTTAAAATCAAGGTACTACTATAAGATTCCTTGGGTATAATAGTTTTTGATTGTTATTTAAGTTTAGTGAGAAAATCAAAATGAGTCTAACAAATATTTACGTTGAAAATTAGTCATTCTTACAAAAATAAACACTAACTTCAAAGATCTATCCTTTGAAATTCATTGATGAGCTCTCTATCGGTTTGAAATTAGGTTAATCTACGACTACATGAAAACGAAATAACCTGATAATTACGCTGAATCAGGATCCTTATTTCATGTTTAGTCCAGTAATGTCTGAATCGAGTTAAATATATTCCATAGTGGATGATATGAAAAGCGTTGTCGTGGGAAAGATGAACAGATGTTGAAAACACAATAAGTGAAGAAACTTGTCGAATGACAGTTTAAATAATAGTGCATTAAGAGGAAAACAATTCACATATTATTACCCAATATTACTACACTTTTAAATATACTTAAATTTAAGAGAATATAAAGCCACAACACCCCAAATAAACATTTTCTAAATAAAGCAACGCAGGGCTCTTTCTTTAACTATCCAACAGTATTCTAATTAACTATTCCCATAAAGGTTCACTAGTGAATCAGTTCACAATATTGATTAATATGTGAGTTGCAGAAACTTCATACTTTTGAATAACACCATTGTA